CTAATTTTGTTAAAATCATTTTGTTGTTGCAATGTTTGCATCATCGTGATGTTCTGTGGTGTGCTGAACTAAAGATTACTTGAGATTATTTTAACAGCAAATGAATGAATGCAGCTCGTGGCTTCATTCAAAGAAGAACATCTTGAATGGAATGATTATATTTGCCATGTCATCTACGTTCGTGCACGTCAAGAAATCAAATTAAGTGAGCACTACACAACAACAGTTAAGCAGACGCTGGGGAAAAGACTTCAACCAAATTCTCTTTCAATTCATCCTCTACACATCCACATCCATGTATGTATATATATATATATACACCAAAGTTATATACACCAAATATCAACACCAAAGTTAATTTTTACAACGTCAAAGTTCATCTTGACAAAGTCAATATTTTTCTATATATACAGCAAGGAGCACTGATGATGATTCATTCGGAATCGAAATATGGCCTTATTTGCAGCATGAATTCGAAAAATAAGTTTATTTTGAATTTTAATAAACTAAACGTTCACCAAAAAACTTTAATGAGAAAAATCGAAAAAACGAACTACAAACATATTAACGCCAAACATTCGGTAGAATTTATAGAATATTGTAAATATATATATATATATATATATATATATATATATATATATATATGTCTTTATACATTGGTTTATCCTTGTTTTATTTATTGTTTGATTATTTTGGGTAAAAACATAAAATCTCATGTTATTATTTTAACAAAATGTCAGAATTATTTCGTGAGGATTTTGTACAATTTGTCTTGACTATTTTAAAAAATTAAAAATGTTGATTATAAAACAATTATGAACGTACAGAATTTTACTATTTAAAAAAAAATGATTAAATTAAATATGTTTATGTATTTTTATAAATATCTACTGAAAAAATCATCATTAGTTGTTATAAGTATACAAGACATACATCAGAATTTTATATTCGACCATTTCCTACTGTTTTATTTTCACCATCTAATTTTGTTTATGGTATTAAGCTTTGGACATTGTTGAATGAGGTTTTAAATTATCATCCACCTTAACTAATTTAAATAAACCTATTGTTCCCTTAATTATTACCGAATATTTTTCATCTTTGCAATTATTGTTTACTTTGTAGCTCTGGTCTTAACTTATCATCATTCCAAGGTATTTCTTAGGTTTAATGATATTTTCAGTTATATTTGATTATATGAACAGAATATGTTTTATTTTCATTTTTGTATTTTCTGTTATTGCGGCCCAATAGGCCCTGCTTCGATTCACCAGCTTTTTATGCAAATAAAAGAATTATATATATATATATATACATATATATAATATACACGTACAAACTACATAACACGAACAACGTGAACATCGTGAAGAATATGAACGACATGAACAACGTAACACGAACAATATGAAGAACGTGAACAAGTGAACGGGTTACCGTACACAAAACAATGCGCGAGGCAGACTTCTTTATAATGCATGATGTTTCGTGAAGGAGTTCATAATACAATAATTGCATTCGCCACTAAGCATATGTGCACGCTACATATACATATTTGAATGATAAACATGGTGTACACAATGAACAATAAAATGAACGGATATCTCTATGACCACCACTGGTATACATTGTGCACATTAAAACAATAATTCATGATGTTGCTGTTTTTGTTGTTGCATATACAAGGTACACATTTTGTTTCTTAGTAGTTTGGTCTATATACTTAGTCATATACTTGGTCATATTTATGCATGCTGAAATGTTAGTCTGGTACAGTAGTTATACATTTCTAAAGCCATGCTGCGTAATTTATTCATAAACCGTTTAACGACGATTGTCTACAGTCCGTCATGAGACCCTGTTCTTTGTCTCGTCTAGCGTCCACACAACAGTGTGAATATCTTATTGTCGTTCATGCGGTTAAGCAGAAAGTATATTACAATAAAGATTTTGAACAAGTTTAAAATAATACTTCTCATTTTTAAAATAGAAGCAAATTTAAAAGTTGAAACTATTTTTTTAAATGAATTTTTCACTTTGAAAAGAACGAAAAAACAATGGAAGGAGTAGAATTAACTGATTTTGAAGAAAAAATTTTTATATTGAAAAAAATTTAAATAATTCCTTGAACAACTTCAAAACCCTAAAATTTTACTTTAATATATTCAAAAATATTTTAAATTACTAAAATCTTGAATTAAAATTTAAAACCGGTCTTAAAAATTAAAAGTATAAAAAGTTTACGAATTGCATAAAAC